GTGGGGCAGTAAGGTTTCGTATATGGTTGCGCGGACCAATGCTTTCCTGTGGGTTGGGGGGGAGGGGGGTGGGGGTGGGGCAGGGGCATTAAGCTTATGTGGATAGTTGCGTACCATGGAGGGCGGGTGGGGTGTGGGGGCTGTTGGGGCGGTCCGTAGATGGTTGCGCGGACGAATGCTTTCGTGGGTTGGTGTGGGGTGGGGGGGAGGTGGGCACAGGGGGGTGGGGTAGGGGCATTAAGCTTATTGTGGATAGTTGCGTACCATGGAGGGCGGGTGGGGTGGGGGGTGGGGTGGGGCAGTAAGGTTTCGTATATGGTTGCGCGGACCAATGCTTTCCTGTGGGTTGGGGGGGAGGGGGGTGGGGGTGGGGCAGGGGCATTAAGCTTATGTGGATAGTTGCGTACCATGGAGGGCGGGTGGGGTGTGGGGGGTGTTGGGGCGCTTGTGAGATCCCCCGCAACTGGGTCCCTAAGAAATGGGGATCCCTTGCCACTATAAAATGCCTTTTTGGTAGTCATCTTATAGAGAGGGTAGTTGTTGAGAGTTTTGAGAAGACATGGAAGGACATTTTATAGAGTTGGATACTTTATGTAAAGCCTAGTGATCCCTGGACAAGGCATTTTCTAGAGGCGCATGTCGGAAATGGACGTGTCCCGCTTGGGGATTTGGTTGGTCATTTTATAGAAAAAGCTGCGTTCACACTAGGTGGATTTGGCAAAGCATTTTATAGAGACTTTGGTGTTGGAGATGTTTATGAACCCAGTAATGTAATTTTTTAGTGAACACGTGCTTCCCATGTTGGGATCCAGTATTGTCATTTTTTAGTGAAAACGGGTTTCCCAACATCTTATGCCCATTCATCTGGATATTCATTTTATAGAGCATGTTCTTCCACTGCTCCTTAGCCACACCTGGATCTGGCTTGGCATTTTATATAAACACCTTTGCCTGTCATTTTATAGAGATTCTATCCCTTGCCAGTCATTCTTTAGAGGGCAGCTCTCTAAATAATGACCAGCAAAGCACCCAACAGGCCACCCACGGGGGATCTTGTGAGAAAATCCGTTGAGAGCAGTTTTCCTGGCATTGCCATAGAGATACACGCACTGGAGAGAGATTCCGGTCCCGCAGTTTCCGAATACAGCCGTCGAGTTTCCGAATACGAGTTTCCGAATCCAAGCGGTCAGTTTCCGAATACAACCGTGGAGTTTCCGAATACAACCGTCTCAGTTTCCGAATACAACCGAGTAGTTTCCGAATACTAGTTTCCAAATACCACCGTGCAGTTTCCGAATACCACCCTTCCAGTTTCCGAATACAACCGCTTCAGTTTCCGAATACCATGTTTCCGAATACAACCGCGCAGTTTCCGAATCCCAGTTTCCGAATACAGCCGTTCCAGTTTCCGAATACAACCGCCGAGTTTCCGAATACAACCGTCCAGTTTCCGAATACAACCGTGACCTGTATCCTAACATTTGTCCTGCTGTGAAGTCTGACATGTGTTCTGACATATCTTCTGGGCATGTGCTCTGACATATGTTGTGACTTATTGTTTTACTTCGGTTCTGATAGTGTTCTGCCATGTATTCCGACAATCCTGCCACTGATTCCGACATATGTTCTGACATAGTTGCTGCCACGTGCATTCTACTCATCTCGACTATTCCGACATTCTGACATCCTGGTCGGCATTGTTATGGCATTCTATGTGGTTTTTGACATGTTTTTTGAGCATTTTTTCTGGCATTCTATCCGGCATCTATTCTGACCTGGTTTCTTCCTGGCATTCTATTACGAAAGCCAGCCTTCGTAGAAGGCGCCAGCTAAGTTGTGTTTGGCGAACGAAGTGAGTAAGTAGGGGGTTTGGGGGGGGTGGCCCGAGAACGTATCACGTAAACTCGAAATTAGGTGGGGGAGAGGGGTGTGCGGAAGTAAGGTTTTTGAGGTTGCGCTTTTGTGATTTTTGAGGGGGTGGAGATGCAAGAAATGCAATTTGCAATTTTTGCATCATCTGAATGGTAAGGTGTAGTTTTACAGAGGCCGATTTGTTGTAGCTTCGTGCAGCTGTGAATGCATCACCTTCTTACACACCTATATAAGGTCAAAGCACTAATGAGTCTTCAAATCCGTGGATTGCTGCACGTTTCTCAAGGTTATCTAGCGGTTGACGGAAAGGGAAATTGAAGCGCTACACCTGGCAACTGAATTGTACAGGGTAGCGGACCCAGGGTAGCTACCGCTGCACTTTTACTATCTCTCTTCACAACGTGCTCGTGGACAAAAAGCGCCGGCTTTCGGTTTGCAGCTTCTCAGGTTTGACATCTATTTGGGAATTCTTTCTGGCATTGTATATATGACACGATATGTCAGACCCAGCTCCCCCCAGGCAAATGTTCGACGCGAAGAACATGATGTGCGCGGCGGATCCTCGTCACGGCCGTTACCTCACCGCTGCTGCCCTATTCCGAGGGCGTATGTCGACCAAGGAGGTCGATGAGCAGATGTTGAACGTGCAGAGCCTTCGGCCAGTGGTTCCAGCTGTTTTTTTGTTGAATTCAAGTTTTCGCCTATTTCTGGGTTACTTCGTTCCTGCTGCCTTGTCATGTGACCTTTCGCCGAGGAACAAGAACTCCTCCTACTTCGTGGAGTGGAGCCATAGACTTGTTCGAAGAGGGGACGTTTCGCGCTCGGTGTTGACCCCATCAACTTCGCTGGACACACGTGTTGGAACATTATGAGTCGAAACGCGTGAACGTGTTTAATCCCTTTTGGCCTTGGCCAAGAACATCCAAGAACCATTTCGAATAGTCTCTCCTGACGAGTGGGTTTATATAAGTTAGATATGTTATATGTTAGCATCTCTCTGCCGCAATGCTTGAACCCAGCCAGTTTGACAGAACCAATGAACCAGTGGCTTGCACGGCACAGCACCCCTTCTAGGTTTTCCATCCACGTGTGCGACATTGCGACACAAAAGACCGAAGGGCAAGTGTGTTTCGAAGATGGTTTCAAGTCTAGTAAAGCATCAAAAATCTGAGAACTTCCAGACAAAAACACACAAGCCAAATCAACAAATCACAATGCCTGAGGCTGTAACCCCCGAAAAATGTCCCCAAGACTTTCGGGGTGAAAGAGCCTGCCGACCTGTCATCCACCGTGTCGTTCCAGATTCCTCGATTTTCTGAGGATTCCCAACAACATCAAGGCTTCAGTCTGTGACATTCCTCCCAAAGGATTGAAGATGGCCGTGGCCTTTGCTGGGAATTCCACCGCGATTCAGGAGAGGATGGTTCACTGAGACAGTCTCGTTGTTTTTTCCTGTTTGTTTGTTTTGTTTTAGCCCGCTCCCCCCTCCCTACTGGTACTTAATTCAGTAAGCGCCTACTTAGTTAAGTAAAGAAATGAGGTAGCACTACCGACAGGACGCAGGATAGCTCGCGCTAATGATTTGGTTACATCTTTAGGGAAACTTAAGGTTGAAGAACGTCGCTTTCGCCATCGAGCCAGAAATAGTACGAAATAGATCGAAATAGTTGACATAGCTATGAGTGTGTTCGTATGTTGATTGCTGGTGACGGCTCCCCTTGGTGACTGGATTTTAGACGTTCGATGTGCTTGGATTCTGGGCAACTCTCAGGAGATGTTCAAGCGAGTGGCCGAATACTTCACTGCCATGTTTCGTCGTAAGGCGTTCCTGCACTGGTACACTGGTGAAGGCCGAGTTGGACTCTCAAGTCGTCTAAATGTCAACTTGAAGTTTTGAAGGCCAAGTCATCCATTGCGGTACATCAGTCATTGTATTTTGATGCATTTAGGTGTTTCGTTCCGCTCTCCTTTCCCCTAAAACGATACATGACACCCGCGGGTGGAACCTACTTGCAGATACTTGCAGTATAGTATAGTGTTTAAATGATGCCCAGAAAAATGCAGGTATGGATGAGATGGAGTTTACCGAAGCGGAGTCCAACATGAACGACCTGGTCTCTGAGTACCAGCAGTACCAAGATGCAACTGCCGAGGAGGAGGGCGAATTCGATGAGGAAGAGGGCGAATACGACGGCTGAGCCTCCCGAAGGAGGACGCTGACGCTGAGCATCGCGTTTGGCCGTTCAAACGCGCCAGATCCTCAGGTGGTGCGGCTTGTCTTTTTTGCTGTTTTTTTTTAAGTTGTCGGCGTCAAAACAAGAAAACATGGTCAGTCGTGACCACTTGCGCCTGGGCAAAAAGACATGCCAGGTCCGTCCGGGTTTGTGAAACAAAAGATTGCTTCGCCAAGCCGCATCCCTGGGGCCTGTGATCGTCACCTCGAGATGGGGCTCCCGATGGGGTTGCTCCATCGCTGGTGTCTTGGACCAGGCCCTTGATCTGGAAAAAGGAGCATTCTTCCTTGGAGTTTGGTGACGTGTAGGACCTGGAGCAGATGAACCAATAAATTGATGCAGATGTCCAGATGTCCCCCCCTTTTCAGTCCTTCTCTAAACAATCCAATTTCGAGAAGAGCTATGCCAGTTATGGACTGCACCACTGGTCCACTATCGTGGACGTGTTGATCAGAATCAATCACGGTCAGTCTTTGTGCAATCAAAAGGAGAACTGGAGGACAGCAGATTGGAGCCACTGGAATTATATATATTATATAATGTATTTTTTAAAATATATTATGTTTGTTTCGGAACCTTCAGCAGGCTGAGTTTCCAAAGCTGTTCTGTGAATACTGCAATGTCTCAAAGGGAGTCCAGGGAACATAGTTTTAGCGGGGGGGCAATGCTTGGTTTTGCTTATAATTATAGTGTGTGATTTGGTTTCCCTTCGTTTTTAGTATACAAATAGATCATCATAGATCCGTTTCAGTTTCTGGTCCAAGTTTTGTCCGGGTTCCTTGAGCAAATCCTATGTCACCAATGTCTAATCGTCGATTCCCAGTGGCCGAGAAAAAGCAGACGCCCAGATGGACACGAGTGAAGCTGAACAAGTCCTAGCGGCACTCCAGGCACGGGTAAAATTCAAGGATTGGGTCCATAAAAGGCAAGCTTTACAGTAGCAGGAAAAAAGGGACGCTACTAGGGGCTCCTGGCCATACTAGTAGGAGCAATTAGCTACTAGGAACAAGAAGGTAAGGGATCAGTTCCTGCACCAAGATCTCACGAGCTCGCTAGAGGTGACCGCTTGCTCGTGGGGGTTGGTGGGATTTGGCCGCAGGCCCTGCTGGCAGAGAAGGAGCAGCTGCACCAGCAGCTGTTGAGCGAACAGGCTCGCAGTCGAGGAGCGTATGCAGTGAATGGGTGTTTTTGGAAGACACACGTGGCTCGAAAGGGTAGGATCCTGGTAATCGTCTTGTCCAAATATACCCAAAGGTTGTGGAGGTACCCTCTTAAAGCTGCAGCTAGCTAGCCTAGCCACCTACCCCAACACTGCAACCAGCCGCGGCTTCCACCTTTGTCTCCAGTAGGCTGAACTTGGACGTCCCGCGTCGTTCACCCTCATGCTCGGGCATGCTGGTGGTTCTCATGTCATGAACGCACATGTCCGTTGGTTCATCTGAAAGGCACTCGAGATTTTTGGAACTGAATCACCATGAATCAACTAGCCATCCAGCAACTGAAGTTGAAGCGAACATAGAAACATGTGATGAATTCAAAAAATGAGACTCTACTACTCTATGAAATTTCATAGTAGAGTGAAGCAACTGAACCTGAGATCTCGAGGCTGAAGCAGAGGAGCGGCTGAAAGCACTGAGAGAGATGGGTGCCTGAGTGAGAACTGAGAGCGAGAGAACTCACGCCAAGAGGGAAGGCCCAGATGGGAAGGCCCAGCGTGGGCTTGCCGCCATGTGGATGGCTGGCCCTGGCTGCGTTGGAGTTGCCGTGATATCGTATTCTTCCTCACCATCATGGAGAATTCCGCCATTTCTGTAAATCACATTGATCACATTGGGAGAAGTGAAGCTATATGCACGTGTTTGTAGACCAGTCCCTTGAAGAGGGCTCCCCTTATTTTTTCAGGTTCAGTAGTTGAAGCACAAGGGTCAATGCTAGGGAAGGATCGGCTGATTGGAGTCAGGACGAGCTAAATACCACAAGATGAGAACGGCTCTAAGCGCTTCGGCGGTACAGCTTGCTAGCACTCAGGCGCCGGCGCCATGCGCCACAGCGGCACAGCGGGCGAACGACTGGCGAATCGATGTGACCTTGCATGGACACTCCTGGAGAAACAGGAAGAAACACCCTGTTGCAGCCAATGTGTTGGACGCGCCGGTGATCCCCCCGTGTTGAAAGGGTTGCTGATGTTGATTTGAGTGTGGACGAACGTAGACAAGAACTTGGCCGACCATCATTGAACACACATGACCAACATATTCTTCGAGCTGAACAGACTGTTGCCTTCGCCCATCGTTGGTCCTGCACCATGCCCGCACCATCTTGCTGCTCACAACATGCTGCTGGTGATGCCTTATTAGTGTTCATATATGCTGTATTTATACAATTGCCGTTTTGATGTGTGGTCAGTGAAGCATCCTCAAAAAGGCCCAGTGCAGTTGCCAATGTGATATCATTTGTTAAGGGTTGTTAAGCTTCTCAGCTTATCTCGTTTTTGTTGTTCTTTTAAACGTGTCGAGACAACGCAGGTAATAGTTCAACCGAATTATATACTACGATGGCCATGCTTCCGACACTTGGCTCGCCAGCAAAATTGCCACATATCAATGCTGGCAGGACACACCGGCACACACGTAGACACCACACTCCATGAGTCCAGTGATATCCCATGGTCACGAAAGGCGTGTTTTGTTTAATTTATAAAGGATATATTAATATAGACATCAATAGACCTATCAAGCCAAGCGGGAGGCATTGCCCAGTTTGAAGAAATGACCAGCCTTGGCCCAGTTTCACTTTGCAGTTGGCTGTTTTTGTGGCTTCTTGGGTTGGATTTTGCCTGGCCAACCGATCAGCTGGACATGTGTTAGCTGGGCAGCTGCCAGGCACGCTGTTTCTTTACCGGCCATAGGTTGAGGCCGAGGTCCCCAGGCCAACATGAAACCGATCAGGCTAGGCTGGGTATTTCAGCAGTAGCGGAAAAACACAGAAAAGGCTATATTAGACGGCACGCCATGGCGTATGGCTGTCATGGGCTTCTTCAGGACCGGAGCTGCTGACGCTGCCGAGCTTCCTCCAAGAGTTTCGCAGCCAACTCTTTGAGAGGTTGCCATGATTTCCTACTTGTAAATATTGCCGCGAAATCAGCATTCTCAATTAGCCCATTGCGATGTAGTTTACAAGCTCGTACTTCATGGGCGATTCTTTAATTGACCTGTCAGGATGAAGTATCAGTTCCCAGAGCGGGTGTGGGTAAGTCCTTGGGTACTGGCCAGGGAAGAAAATCAAGGCGGTTTCCCACAGCTCTTACTTTCAGAGTGTATTTCCATGCGTTGGGAGGCATGATGTGCTCGGCCTATAGCAACATGTGTAGCTTGGCTGAAAATCGTTCACTCCGCCCGTTCATGGTAACTCCAGAGTCACTCTGGGTTACTGCTGAGTCATGGCGATTTCAACACACTGAAACTTGTTCCAATCAAGCAACCAACTTCTAAGCAGCAATTCCCCACCTGCCAGGTGAGGGTTGTTAGATTTTATCACAGTTGTTCTTCCTCCGCCTCCGCCTCCGCCGCCTCCTCGTCCTCCTCCTTCCTCCTTCCTCCTTGCTTCCTTCCTCGCCAATCTTCATCGCCAATCTGCTTCGCCGATCTTGTCTGGCCAGCTCTGGATCGCAGTGTGCACCCCTGTACCTCAACCGCAAGGATCCCCTCGCAGTGTGCACCCCTGGACCTCAACCGCAAGGATCCGATCGCAGTGTGCACGCCTGGACCTCAACCGCAAGGATCCGATCGCAGTGTGCACCGCTGGACCTCAACCGAAAGGATCCGATCGCAGTGTGCACCGCTGGACCTCAACCAGATAGTTTGCCAGATAAAATCCACAAACACACAATCACAAACACACGACCACAAACACGCAACCACAAACACACAACCACAAACACAATCACAAACCCACAATCACAAACACAATCACAAACACACAACTACAAACACAACTACAAAGACACAATCACAAACACATAACCACAAACACAAAACCACAAACACACAACCACAACCACACAACCACAAACACACAATCACAAACACAATCACAAACACAATCACAAATACAATACTACAAACACAATCACAAACACACAACTACAAACACAACTACAAAGACACAATCACAAACACACAACCACAAACATACACACAACACACAACCACAAACACACACACACAAACACACAACCACAAACACACAACCACAAACACAACCACAAACACATCCACAAACACAACCACAAACACACAACCACAACCACAAGTACAAACACACAATCACAAAGACACAACCACAACCACAACTACAAACACACAATCACAAAGACACAACCACAACCACAAACACACACACAAACACACAACCACAAACACACAACCACAAACACAACCACAAACACATCCACAAACACACGACCGCAAACACAACTACAAACACACAATTACAAAGACACAACCACAACTACAAACACACAATCACAAAGACACAACCGCAACCACAACCACAACTACAAACACACAATCACAACCACTACCACAACCACAAACACACAACCACAAACACACAACCACAAACACACAACCACAAACACAACCACAACCACAACACAGCACACAACCACAGCACACAACCCGAGGACCCACAAGCAACATCGAGAACTACAATACTGACGACTATGGCAACATGCTCCTCACTATGGCATCAAGACAAATGATTGAAATGTCATGGTGGGGATCACTCGAAGTAAAGTATTTTTTTAAAAGTGATCAGACCATCCAAACTTTGGACCAACTGATTGCAGCATCAAAAGGATTGCAGATCTGACGATGCTAAGGCACCCTCAATCGTTCATTTTCCTAGCTACGATTCGACATGCATTTTGCTTGTTCATTTTACTACCATTATGAACCATTATGCACCATTATGACATAGTAATATAATGTAATATATACTGCACTATGATTACAAAGAGTGATTCATGGTGATTGATGTGAGCAGCCAGGACCAGCCTGGAAGAGGCAAGCAAGCAGCAGACGCAACATACGGAAAGCACCTTGAAGCACTTGACCAAAAAGGTGGAGGACATGGGCACCACACAGACGGGGGGAGCCGTCCTGCACACATTTGCACACGGCCTTGTTTCGCACTTGTCTCTAGTCTTCCATGCATAATACTTGGATTGCAATTGTTCTTCCAATGTCTCTGGTTTTGCCTTGTGATGGATGATTTCTGCTTTGTCTCGCATCTCTGGATTCTCTGGTGTTGTAGTCCTTGTGATGGACCATTCCTGTTTTGTTGCTGACTGTCTCTCATTTGTCTACCATTTGCTCTTTGTCTTCTGGTGCCTTGCGGGGGGCAATGCTTGGTTTCCGTGTGCCGTGTGACGGGCAGTTCCTGATTTGTCTTCGACTTCTCCATCATTCCGCTCCTCTTTTCTGTTTGTCCCGGACTTGCTCTCAATGTCTCCCAGACTTGTTTGTGGTCTGGCTCGTCACACACACACACACACACAAGTCGTGAGACCGTGACTTAAGCTTTGACGGTCTTCTGGTGGCTTGTGACCTTGTTGTGACCTTGTGTTTGGCTCCTTTTCGTTTGTCCTACACCGAATTCAATCAGGTTGTGCTTCAGGCCAGTGATTAGTGATTTATGCTGGTACTGAAAGAAAGTCAGTGGGGTTGATATACTAGAGCAACCTGGGTGAAAGTCAAGTATTTATCGGAAGTTGAGGACACCTTGCAAAATGCTGCCCTGGAGATTAGTGATGCAGCGCTGCAAAACATCCTGACCCAGGCTTTGGGAACAGGGACAGGACGGGGTCCTTTTCGATGATATCTCTTCTTGTCATTTTGCTACGGAAGGTAAAGCTCTGCAGCTCTACATTGACATTCTGTTTGAACAACTTGTAGTAGGAGCGCCAGGTGCCAGGCGGAAAAGGTGCAAAAACGCGGCCCTGTTCGGCCCATGTGCGATGCTCAGTCTGGCTGTTGACTGTAGGAGTGGCCAGACCATGTCTTGTGTTCAACTGTCTGTGTTCAACGGTCAACCAACAGAAATGCTTTCTGTTTGAATATTGTCTTCCTTCCGATGCACTTGTTTCTACTAGCTTCTTGTTACTACTAGTAAGGCACTTGTTACTAGTAGCGATGCACTTGTTACTAATAGCTTCTTCCTTCTTTGGAAGCTGTGTTCCAGAATGTTTTGCATCTTACTTTGCCCTTGACACTGCAACTGGTACTGTCGCTGTGTTTTTCCACCGCTGCGCAATGCAATGCTTGGATTTGCCAAGGCTCCAAGATCGAGTGGTGCGCCAGGCTGTGGGCAACGGATGGCAACGGCTGTGTTTCAATGGAGGTCCAATTGGAGTCTAAGCAATGCAGCAATTCTGTTGCCGAAAGAAACAACTTGTCACGGCTTTTATGATCCTGTCATTTGTGTTCTAGGCTTTCATGTGGCTTCGCGGGTAATCTGTGTGGTTCTACCGCTGGCAAAACTTTGGCTGCAGTCGGTTCCACGTTGAGACAACCTTGACGTCTCACACAACAAGTGCCTCACAATGACGGGCGCAGCGCGAGCTGACCAGTGGCTTGCCGCTGCCGTGGCCTCAAAGAAGTTTGACAGGTTCGGGCACGTCATGCACAGACATTACATTTTCCATCTAGCCTCACTGTTGCTTGCTACTTGGTAAGGTGTGGCAGTTTGGGCGGCTTTGTCCAAATAGTAAGAGGGCAAAGTTTCGGAGTTTGGGCACATCATTGGCTACTCACATTGCAAATGCAGGCCGGATGCGGTTGTTGCGAAGAACCAAGTGGTTTCAGAAGAAATCCACCGCCAAGTGGACATGGATATGGCCAGGACTGTTGCGAAGGATAACCAAGACATCAGACAGCAGTTAGTTGATGTTGGTATGGAGATTCATTTAATTTGCCTTTGACAAGTGCAATCCTTCTGCCAGCTTGACACCGACACAAACACATAGAAACGACCTTAGGAGCACTTAGGAGCATGAATGAGCTCAGCACGAGCTCAGCATCAGCAGCAGCCTTGGCAGGACATACTCTAAGATGTTGTTTGGCCACCAGGCTCCGGAGAAGGAAGTGGCACACAGGCGACAGCAGGTGACTGATTTGATGACACTTGGACCCATTGTGGACCTGGTGGATGGATGCTGAGGAGCCACAATGACCTGGTCATTGGAGATGTGGGTAGGGCATGGTAGGGCCTGTAGGGATCAACCAAGGGGTACCAGAGGAGCCCAGTCAATCCTTCTTGGGGAAACCAATAAACATAAACCAATAAGCGGCACAACATCAACACCAGCTCAGAGTGTGGAAAGAACAATGGATGAAGAGATACGACATCATCATTTTGTTTTGCACACATGCACACATACATGTACATATGATATAAACACGCTGTGATCTCAACACTATATATAAGGGCTTCAAACCAAACGATCATTTAGGTAAGGATCGGTCCTATCCTGTAAGCTTGTTTGAAGCCTTATGAATATATGTGTTTATTTATTTGGGAAAGATTTAGCGCACATTTTCAAGTTCTATGCGCCATCATCTTAGATGCCGGTATGTGGTGGCCAGCAAGGGTTTTACATGGATCCGCTAGAGATCTAAGTATATACTTGTTTTATTTGTGAAGAAGGCCATCAAAGGAATCCGTTCTTTGTCATCGTTTGATGATATTTTCATATCGTCTGGGGCCATACTCGATGCCCTAGAGACGTGCGCACAGAAGCAGCATTACCTTTTTTGGCGCTTCTCAAATCTTAGCAGCAGCTTCCAGAGCATTCCTGGCTCAGCTAAGCCCTGGCTATGAGCTTTGCTTCTTATCAACTGCAGCGAACCTGGGCCACATGAGTTGATTCATCCAAGGATCAAATGGCTTGAGGGTGAGGAGACCCTGACATACATGCAGGGGATGAATCATGTGCCGCGTGCTTAGCTTATGGCGATTCCATACCGCAAACACGTGGACTGTGGCGATCACAAAGCTTGGAACGTCTTCAGAATCGTAATTGATTTTGCACATTTTTGCATAGTAGTGCGTAGGACCAACCTGATTTAAATGGTAGCAAGCTGGTCACTTTTCCATCCCATAGAATCCACGAACCCTGTGCAAGTTAAAGAACATACCCAGATGAGCATACGGTGTCGACACCATAGTGGATGCCGCTGGACCACTTGAGGATGGCCACATGTTTCCGAGAAATCGGCGAAGAGAATGCAGCAATGAAGGTTTTTGACCATGTGATCCGCCAGGACGGGTGAAACAGTCGTGGGGAAGTGGCATTAGATTTGATGTTTTGTGGAAAATGGCACAGTCCATCGTCGGATTTTTTTCGCGTGGGGCCCTGATGCTTGTTGCGAAAATGACGGGGCCCGCCCTGCAGGCCGACGAAAACCTTTTCCACTCGGATGGCGACAAATTGGTTGCTGCCATTCAGGGCTTGGCGGACAAGTTGCGTGAGATGATTGGAAAAGAAAGTCCCAAAGTGGCCGAAAGGCTAGCAGAAGGGGACATTAACTACTTGCCCATGCTTGCACCTTGGCCCAAATTCACTGGAAAATGGACCCCCAAAAGTTTTCCAGTCCTTTCTGCCACTGAACGAGTACAAGAGAAAGATGTCACATCTGGAATCATTTTTACATAAATATACAGTATAGATCTCTTCTTTCAGAGAAATTATCTCTTGCGTTTGCCAAACATCAATGCTTGGGATCCCATAAAATGCAGTATCCACCACTCCCATTTGCTCGGTAATTCTCGATATGTGGTTGTTGAATGTTGTTGTGGTGACCAAGTGGATGTAGTGAAGCTGGTGTGCTTGAGGTACAGAACTGGCTTATTGACATTTTCCTGCACGTGCTGCCCACAGAAGCAGCCGCGCGTCTTTGGGACCATGTTTTGGCGTCCGAAGGAGAGAGTTATGAGCCACAAGACTCCCGTTCAACCCATGGTTGAATTTTTGGAAACACACCAATCACCAAAATTGGGCAGTCTATGACAGTCTTATGAGTCTAATGATGGGTTTTGGAGGTGCATGGGTTGTCCGGATCCCGGCTCTTGGAGCTGAGTCCAGCAGATTTTCTGAAGCACCTGCATCTTTCCGAGAGAGGGGGTACCGTACCACCAAATGTGAGAAGCACCTGCCAGGTTCAAATCCAAAGTTTTCTGACCCTTCTATACCCTTTACCCTGGTTACCGGAACTTTTTCTTTGCGATGGCACTGGCGATGCATGTCTTTGTTCATGCAGCTTGCAGCTACCCTTGGGAGGAGTGCCATTAAAATTCGCAATGCAATTGCTCCTATCTGGCAAACAAGCCACTTGGCCTTCTCTCGGAGTCTTCTCAATGTGTTTAGTGGGGTCTTGAAGGGACCTTGTAACAAATTTGACTTTTTGCATCCCAAAATATCGGATTATAATGGATCATATATTCATGAACAATGAGAAACCCGAACCACCCAAAAATGATCTGGTTTAGTTGGTTCACTCCAAACTCGCGGGATGTAGTACCAACATTGATGGACAGACAAATATTCATTGAAAGCAAACACAGTTTGTATTGTAGGTGGTTTAAGCGGCTGCATGTGGAGTGAATTTCCTTGTGCAGCAGACTTGCGGAGAACAACAAGGCAACCACGTATTCCAGCATGAAGACTGAATTGCAATTTTGATGAGATGATGTCGGACGATATACATATTTAAAGGCTTACGCCTGACAGCCGGGCGCCGGCCAACACGGGAGAGGGAGGAAGGACGTGGGGAGTAGGGGGACGGACCTCAGACACACACACACACACACACACACACACACACGCACACACACGCACACGCACACACATATAGACATACAGGTGTAGGATGGATTATTGTTGTGGTTCTTCTTGTTGCGGTGGTTCTGGTTGTGGTTGTTGTCTTGGGGCCCAGTCGAACCCATTTTTGGGCTATGTGGGCGGTCTTGGGGCGATCTTGAGCCGCCCTGTAGAAAGCCCAAAAAGGTTGGTGTCGCCACAGCCTTCCCACATCTAATTCTGCGCGCAAACGGGCCCCGGACGGCAGCAGCCAGTCTGTCTAACGTTGCTTTTGGAACCCTATACTTGGTGGCTCCTTCTTGGTTATGGAACTTATAAATTACTTATAACCTATCTGTAACATATTTGTAACCTACTTTTAAGTTAGACAAGTTCTGTAAGTTTTTAAGTCAATTTATGCAACTTATAGTATATTTACAAAACTAAGGCAAATTAGTATCTAGTATAAGTTGTTCTTGCAAAAACATTGAAAATAACTTAGAACAACTTAGAAAACTTAACTTTTTTGATGTAAAGAATCTATACTTTTTCAATATTGTTTTAAGAGTTGAAGTTTCATTGTTTTTTCTATGTAGCTGCTTTCCTTGATTGTTTTCTATTCAGCTGCTTTTCTAGAGCGCTGGCTACACAAAGGCACAACTACACAGAGGCACATGTACTTACACATGGGTGGCGGCCCAATGGGCAGCTAAACTACCCCATGACTTTATATTTGTTAAAATTCATTTCCAGTAGGTGCCTATATCCCATAAATAAAATATTCTATGAACTTCTTTGCGACCATCACGCAACTACAAAACTTTGCAATGGTAATTTTCCACTTTGGCTTCAATTGGAAAGGTGTCCTGGGAACCCTTTTTTTGATCAAAAAAACGGGTCTCCAGGACACCTTCTAAATCGTCAGAAAAATCCGAGTGGATATTGAAACCAAGCGGAAAATTGCCACTTTGCAATGTTTGTGATATGGTTCCACTCGAT